GTTAGTAAATTTATTCAAGTTGACTAAGGACCATTATGCAGTGTATTGAAGTGTCCATGATGGAAAAATGTGCTGGTCATGAAAACTTAGGTATGCACATAGTAGAGTAAGACGCACAGGTAATTTACAGCAAATACTGGACATACATTATGGTATGCAAATTAGACAACGCCAGACTAATGAAATGGTAATGAAAAGTGACACGTCTCATTTGTTTTTAATTATTTAAGTATATACCCATAAAGTTGACCTATTTAAAACTTACAGCTTTATTTGCAAATGAAAGTTTATATAATTTGTAATTTCATAACTTCCCATATTTTTCTGAAGTCAACATCAGTTAAGTATATCAGATAAAACGTAAACACTATTTTCATGTTTTAATCTGCACATGTCTTGTGATAAACCGGTAATATATGATTTTCATGTAAAATAAAGTGTTTTGCATAATAACGTAACCTGACTTTGTTATGTCGACATTCAAAGGTGAATCTCACAATGGGCAATCACATTTGGTCTTAATGGCAGAGTGATCTTTAGAGCCACTGTTCTATGAAGAGAATGTTAGCATTTCATTCAAAAGATTTTGTTGTGATTACAGAATAATAATATTAGTGAAATATCTTAAACTGGGGTTCACCAAGATGATACATTTACAGCATCATGAGGAATTCTTAATTTTTTTCTTTACAATGAGAGACGGGTTATGTACACGAGTTAAGCTGTAATAAAAATTGGAGGATGGAGCAAAGTTTTTTCTATACTTCAAATCTTTAATTATAAGACCTTGCAGAGACCATTTGGAGGTAAAGGGTCTCAGATACAAACATATCTAGTAGTAGTTGAAAGGAGGGGAGGAAAACATGATCATTAGGTCATAACTAGGTAAAAAAGAGGGAGTCTTTTAAAGAGTAACATTGCTAAATTTATTGTCTTTAGATCTAGTACAATATATGTAATGCATCATTGATGAAGAAGGTGTAATGATTTGTGGTACTTCTTTTGGACTTCATGTTGTATATGTATATCAAACATTTGTATCAATTTTTGCCACAAATTATCAAATAAATACGAATGAATTTTGTTATATTTATATCATAAATTTTCTTAATTATTACCACCCACTTCAATTCAGAACGTTGAATGTTTGGAGGCGCAGATACATATATAACATTCTTCTTCACACCCCCCCCCCTCCCAAGAAAAGGACATGATGCACCATCTCTTGTTACGTGGCAACAATATTTGAGTTGTTTATTTTTCTGACACATAATATAGACTGAGGAAGAAGAACAGGTTTTAATCTTAAGATTTCCCTCTGGGATAAAATCCAATGCACATGTCACACAGGTCACATATGTGTTTTGTGCACGATTTTTGTAATAATTTTTAAGTTAAAATCAGGTTTAGATCATCTTGGCTTGACAAATCTATTACAATCAAATAACAAAATTATCCAAACGTTTAGCTTAGATGGAAAACGGTCATAAATTATGAGGTGAGATCACCTTGCCATTGTCAGTTCGACTGCCGTGCTTTGAAAGCTCAAGACGTAGCAATGGCGGCCGCTTGCGCTGCCGAAAATCACGTGACTTCCAATCTAGTGTAAATGATATCTATGATTTCATCATCAACAACCCGCAGCTCCCTCTAGCCAACGAAAAATTATAACACCAAGAAAAATCTTACGACATTATATCCATATATGACCTTTTGGTATATCCTTTTTATTTTATATTTACTCAACACTTAGATCTCTGGTATCCATTCTCTTGCCTCTTCATTCAAGTATTAATTTATTTATTTAAGTTTGAAAACTGGTCGATTAAAGTGGAGCGAAAATAAAAACACGCTGTCACTGGACCTAAGTTATATGTTTGACATTGTAATCCACATGTGCAACAAATATATATCTAACTACAGTCAAGTATAAGCATTAATACTGTTTATGTTTCTAATCCCAAATGTATACTGATTGGAGAAAGTATTAAATAAATTTTACGACAATGTTATTGCAAATATATTTATTCTATTATTTTAAAATTACTTTCTAATGTGAATTTCTTTTTTGAAGTTAGTGACACCAGTATCACAAAAAGACTTTCATGCAGTCAAAAGGTAATATAAAAACAATAAAATAGACCTGGTTTTTATCATTAGTTGGGCTCTGTTTGCTCCCGTGATAAAACTCTTGATTTCGGTGCTGGTGAATCTGGTTACAATCCCTGCGATACTACAAAATGGTCTCTGCACTTTATGCTGTGGGTGTACTATTAGAGTGGCAGGCAATTTTTAAGTGGGTGGTAAGGTGTCACTAACTGGTTGCCTTCCTTTTAGCTAATAATTCAAAATTAGAGGCGGTAGCAAAAAGAGTTAATAGCTTTGCCGTGGTTACAAAATATAAGTACGAATTATAGTTAGTTTCGTAATATATAAACCCGGGAACCTTCATAAGTAATTTTAAAAAGAAAGTTGTTAAAAAATTTATACTTTCAATTAAAAAAATAAAATTATATTTCAAATCATATATTTTTCATTTAGAATATTTAATGTTTTGAACAAGTAATAATATTTATTAAATATTTCGCGTTTATTTTAGTAAAATCAATAAGTAAAAGCGAAATCTTAATAATTAAATATTATTTACAACATGCTCTTTTGTTTATCATATATTAATGGTGGAAATGGTTCACCTATTCGACGTTTGGCAGTCCACGTGTTGTTATCCAGGCGTAAATTTGCCTTACAGTTTAATTAAGCCTTAACTTAATACAAACAATAGTAAAAAGTAACCCCTGCACTGAAGGTAATAATACAGTAAGATTTTAAATAAAAATATTCTAGTAAGCATTAAAGTGAAGTTAAAAAAGAAAGAAAAGAATAATTAATCAAAGTATATGGATTAATCTAGATTATTAAAACTTAAAGTTAAAAGCTGATGTAAAGTATACTGTTCCTGTTAAGTGTTACGGTTAGTAGTATAACTATAACTTATAAGTATAACAAGTACTGTAGAATGTAGTACTAGTACATAATTATTGGACAACCAGAGTTAAACTGTCACTATTAATATATTGATAGTTTGTGTTATTGCGCAATGACATAGATTTATACCGTTTTTAATCTTACTTAGTAGGTTAGTAGTCATCTCACTTGTTTAGCTGTATATCTTTCAATTCAACATTTGTTTAATTTTACAAAGCCTAGTTAGTTGGCTAGACCTAGAGTAGAACTAGTAATAGTATTGAGTTATATGACAAAAATGATCAGAACAATATTTAAAATGTCTCACAATCAGATTTCGTCGACAGATAACATTCATGAAACAGGAAAGAATAAATTAAGAGAAACCTTAATAACATCCAAAACGGTTTTGTAGGTTGTAATATGGATCATGTTATCTTCACCTGTATCACTATCAGTGTACGGCAAATTCATACTATGGTCAGCCAAGGATTGTAATATTAAAACAATTAGGCATTCATCAGCACTGGATGTGATACCATAGCCTAATGAAACTTTTTGTCTTTACACAATGAATTACTTCCTACAAAAAAAAAATATTTTATTTTTAAGATGTTTAACATTAGCCAGCTTGATCTAGTACTATTGGTATTATTCTGCCATATAGTTTAACATTTAGTTGATATATCTACTTCCAGGTTTAATGAAAACCTTGAAATTTGTGACAGTTCTAACAATTCTGTGGAGAATATATGTTATACTTCTTAATGTCAAGTGTAGTGAAGTTTCACTTAAAGTCCTAAGCTTGTTGAGTTTAACAAAGCTGATTGGAAATTTTTAAGATTACACTGATATTAGACACATTAAATGCTAGTGTTAAGATCATGCCATCCGCCACTTCTAGTAACGTTGATCATCTATATTAACAGGGAAGATAGTGGGTGAAGCATACCAATAGAAGATATATCCACCAGGTCTCCCCTGTTCAAACAATAATGGTGTTAGGATACTGATATCCAAAAATCATATTTTATAGTGTATTTTTAAAAGAAATCTTCATGATACAATTTAAAACTTGTTTTTAAAAGAAGAAATATCCAGTTCAAAAGTATTACAAGTTTTGTGTTATTTCACATTGATGAAAGGCTACCGATACTTAAGTGTCAAGTTTGATTAAATCACCAATCTTTAAAAACGTGTCATCAAATTCGAACACTTGTTCTACAGTATTCAATCATCATTGATGCACTATTCATGGAAATCACTTGATTATGTATATTATATGACTTAGAAAGATACCGAAGACAATGACCACCTCACTTGCTCAGCAACTGAAGAAACTAGCTGTACCACAAACAACAGTTTTTCTTGAGGATAAGGTTAAAGCCTCGCTACTTTTTGACCCAAGAGAAGCATCTTCTTATGATAGGGATACTATCTTTGCAATTGGTACGTATAGTACTTTATATAAATGTGTTTATGGGTATGTATAGTACTTTGTATAAATGTGTTTATGGGTAAGTAGAGTACTTTATATAAATGTGTTTATGGGTAAGTAGAGTACTTTATATAAATGTGTTTATGGGTAAGTAGAGTACTTTGTATAAATGTGTTTATGGGTAAGTAGAGTACTTTGTATAAATGTGTTTATGGGTAAGTAGAGTACTTTATATAAATGTGTTTGTGGGTAAGTAGAGTACTTCAAACAAATCATTAAATAATAAATGAGAGTTGCATCAACCGTCAACATTTTGTTTTCCCTATAGTTTATGAAACTATGAAGGACTATTTATATCTTTTGTTTTATTATATATACACTATTTTTTGGGAGAGATGTTTATTATTATTATAAGCTGATTTTAGTTTCTTGTGAAGAGATTTGGGGTTTATTAACCCTTTTTTTATGATTTCAGTTGATTTGACCTAGAACTGGTTGCCATTACATTACGATAACTTTGATTTTATTATAATGAGAGTTTACGTGGTATTCTAATAATAAATGTAAACAAGTAAAAGCTATGCAAAGAAAAACTATCAATTCAAGGCTTCAAATTGCGTCGGGTCAGTATGACCCGGAACATGTCCGAATGTAATAGAAGGGTTAAGTTCAGCTAATTCCTGTTTAGAATAATAATAATTTTTGTTGTTGTGGAGTGTTTATAGTTAACCTGTAAAGGTATGGTTTATAGTCGACCTGTAAAGGGAGTGTTTATAGTCGACCTGTAAAGGTAGTGTTTATAGTTAACCTGTAAAGGTAGTGTTTATAGTTAACCTGTAAAGGTAGTGTTTATAGTTAACCTGTAAAGGGAGTGTTTATAGTTGACTTGTAAAGGAAGTGTTTATAGTTGACCTGTAAAGGGAGTGTTTATAGTCGACCTGTAGAGGCAGTGTTTATAGTCGACCTGTAGAGGCAGTGTTTATAGTTGACCTGTAAAGGTATTGTTTATAGTCGACCTGTAAAGGGAGTGTTTATAGTGGACTTGTAAAGTGAGTGTTTATAGTTAAGTTTTAACATACACATTAATGATACATAGTTTAAACTTTATGATGTAAGTTTTAACATACACATTAATGATACATAGTTTAAACTTTATGATGTAAGTTTTAACATACACATTAATGATACATAGTTTAAACTTTATGATGTAAGTTTTAACATATACATCAATGATACATAGTTTAAACTTTATGATGTAAGTTTTAACATATACATTAATGATACATAGTTTAAACTTTATGATTTAAGTTTTAAAATATACATCTATGATACATAGTTTAAACTTTATGATGTTGAGGTGAGTTTTTACAAAAGAAGTTTGGCACATGTAATAATCGTTGGTAAAGCAAAAATTCAATAAATTAACAATCACATGTAATCATTCTGAAATGATTTTTATGAAATGAAAACAAAAGGTCTCACCTGTGAATGAGCCACTCCAGTGCCTTGTGTGCAGGTCGTAAAAGAAAATAAGGTGACACAAGTAAAAGGAATTTTTTTATTGCTTTATCTAGCTGAAAATTAACTTCTCGTGTCTGCACGGAACGCTCAAAGGACTTGGCTGACTCGTTAAAGAGACTTTGTTCAAATATAGTAAATTCTGGTTCAATTAACTCGAGTTCTTCTAAACCAGTAAGACCTACACAGAGAGAAAGATAAAAAAAAGTCAAATGTTACCCTTCTTTTTAAACAATCTTAGCATTAGAAGTTATCAAACTAAAGTTATTTACCTTTACAGGTTACATCATAAAGTTTAAACTATGTATTATTAATGTGTATGTTAAAACTTGTATCATTTATAAGTTCTCAATTTGCTTTCAGTGTCATAAATTCAATCTTTTTGGTTGTTAAATGTAAAATACTAACCCTCAAATTATAGAAATTGAGTTTTTATTTTTCACCACTGGCTGGGCCCACAGAATGCTTGATATTGAGTAGTTTTATACTTTTCCCTGTTACATTTTCATTTTAAAGAAGGCACTAAAAAAAACTGGAGGAAATCAGTTAGTTTCTGTGTAAAAAATATAGAGGACCGAATCTTTAATTACTGGGATTAATTAGAAACATTAATTTTGATTATTTTAATTGGTAAGGAGAAATCATTATGGAAATATTTTGATTACTTGGATAGTTTCAATAATTGAAAACAGTAACAACTGGAAACTAATTTCGATTACATGATAATTTTTGTGACATTAATCAAGTTAATTGTAATTTCAATTAATTGATTATTTTACATGACACTAGTCAGTGTAAACAATGCTCGTAGGTAATCAATTAATCAAATTATAATAAGTATAATTATTATAAGTATTGATATCATTCTGTTGTCGTTGTGTACGCACATGAATACACAACACACCTATAATGAATATTTATAAAGGACTTCATTGAACCACCGTAGTTGTTTTAGGCCCTTAATTTAATGGGTATGAGAACAAAAATCGATACTACCTAAAAAGTGTTCACTAAAAGTTGTATGTTACAAATTATATAAAATATTGTAATATTTCATTAGGTGACTTATTTAATTACAAAGTCAACTTGTACTTATCTTTGATTATTTTCTGGTTTTGTTTTCAGATTTCATGTTCATGTTTACAATGTGGACGATATAATCGCTTGTATTCTGCCCTACCACGAGACTCGCATCTTTGTACGAGTAATCCAGCTTCTTAACCTGAACGATGCTGCCAGTCGTTGGCACTGGTTAAAGCCCTTGCAGGTATAAAGTTACTACATGTTCTTGATGTGTCATCTTAAAGACAGGAACAATTGATTGAAGTAGTAATTAATCGTAACAACATTAATAAAATGATAATACTTACAGAGTTACATTTTATCAGTTTAGAGTGAGAAAACTATCGAGAGAAAAATATGAATTGAGAAAAAGAAAAAGAAATTTCTTTTATAATACAAGGGTACCTTCGTGAAAGTTAATTTTCAGATATATATATATATATGATATTAGTTACTTTGCTAGCTGTACAGTGTCACTCCAACTATATCTGATTTGTTTCTTTTTAGAAACCAGGAATTCCTCTCCCAAAGTTAACTCTACTCAACCACTGTTACAAAGATCTCAGTTTTCTGAAATTTGTCTGCAATCTTGTTCCAGAAACTCTTAAGGTAAAGACTTTTGTTTTTTACAAACTTTGGCTTTATTTATAAAATTGTAGAGCCTTTTCTGGAATTATTAATAGTTTCTCTCTTTGCAAGTGTAGGTGTCTGTTGAGGTAAGACATTTAGGATAATGACAGGTTACCTCTACAAGTGTAGGTAGTCTGTTGATAGTAAGACATTTAGGATAATGACAGGTTACCTCTACAAGTGTAGGTGTCTGTTGAGGTAAGACATTTATGATAATGACAGGTTACCTCTACAAGTGTAGGTGTCTGTTGAAGTAAGACGTTTAGCACTGTTGAGGGCTGAATGATAGTGTGTTTGATAGTGTCTTCTATAAGTACAGTGTACTCTGTTATTTCTTTAATATTGCTTTCATCAACAGAATTGGTTAGAATGTTTAATATACCTAGTTTTGTTGTAATAATTTTATATTTATTATTATGTTTTCATTATAAAGATTGTTTGTATTGTTTATCTAATGTATGTATTTAGAACTAACCTAAATCTCCTGGCCGAACCTCGTGAGATATTATTGATTTTAAGGCCAGAAATATCGTTTACGACGAGGGTATCCAAAAGATGAAATGCCACATTCTAATCTCTATATATAAGGACGTAAGAAAAGTGTGTTTAGTTAGCTATGCTCGCTACTGATATCAAGTTGAATTTTAGTTTTGCAATAAGCTGGTAAGTTGCTCTGATTGGAAGTTAATATTAATAATAATTAACAGTTGTAGAAACAGGTTCTCTATGTACTGAAAAGGCTGTGAGAAAATTAGTGAAATTTTTTTTTCCAATTTGTTGGGAGCATTTGTAAGGATTAAAATTGTAGTCTTAAACTAGAAATATTTTTTCCGTGTTTTATTGAACATTTATAAGTTTTTGTTATGTCCTGCCTTATTTTGTAGATTCATCAACTAAAGACTCATCCAGCACACCAGACTGTTACATCTTTTTACATGTCGTCTGTTTTGGGGGCTCTAGAGTATGCAGATAAAGTGACTGAAGAAATAGTAGCAGCATTGCTTCCTTTTCTTCTGAAGGGACTGAAGAATGGAGATAAAGACTACTGTGCTGCCACCTACATGATACTGTGTCAGTTGATGAGAAAAACTCATCTAGCTTCATCATTGTGTGAGAAGTTGGTTGTTAAGATTAGCAAGGTGATCAGCTGTATTTTATCTGTTGACATTCACACGATTGATTGTTTAATTCACAAGTAACAAAGAGTGATACGAGAATGTGCACAGTTTGCTGTGACTGTTGTTTTATTTAACATACTTATTGATTGTTTAATTCACAAGTAACAAAGAGTGATACGAGAATGTGCACAGTTTGTCGTGACTGTTGTTTTATTTAACATACTTATTGATTGTTTAATTAACAAGTAACAGAGTGATACGAGAATGTGCACAGTTTCCCGTGACTGTTGTTTTATTTATCATACTCATCTTTAGCTCTAAGTCCAAGCTTTAATTTGCTGTATGCACATAATGTGTGTTATTATGGCAGCTTGGTTGGTAAACGTATCTTGTTGTACTCTTCGTTATGTTAATGTTCCATTATACTAGATGTAATAGTGACATAAAAACTTCAGTAGCTAATACACCATCCAATAAATCTCAAAATTTAAAATTTGGTAAAATTGTGGTTATAGTCCTGTTATAAATCTGTTTATTAACTTTTAAAATAATTATTTCAGCAAACAATCAATCAATGTGTTTCCCTTACTTTTTTTGGTGATGATTAAGACAGTAATGTTAAGAAAGCTGTGTGCGGGACACTCGTTAGTGGCTATGAAAACGTGCAGCAAAATCTCAATTTTTTTTTATCTAAAGAAACAGTTTGTTTGTCATAATAGAATAGAGTTGTTTAAACAGTTGTTTTAAACATTTGTTTAACAACAAGTAAAAACTTGGAATGGTCTCTTCTCTCATTAGGGGGTATGTCTGTGAGTCAGACTAGTTTCGGAGAACTGTGGCGGATTGCTACAAGTTCTTCGATTATCTATAGAATGATAGGTTTCTTTTTTGTGAGTGTAAAACACTTAAATACACCATTTCGATTTGTTTATCAGTTTTCTCAGAACAGCAGGTTGGTGGTTTAAGACTTCAAAGACATTGTGTAAAATGCCAATTTCATAAACCAGATCTTCATAGTTTTCGTTTGTGTGATCTCATTACTAACTATTATGTTCTTTACTTTAATAATACCGTTATGCCTAATTCCAGTCTGAAGTTGTTAATATTTAAATCTTTCTGTTTTTAACAATTTCAGCGTCTGCAACCTGAATTTACAACTCAAGGGATTGTCTGTTTGCTAGTTATCTTTCAGTACCAGAATCTCCGGTGTTTCCCTCGTCTGTAAGTACTTGAGATATTAACTTTTGATTCAAACAAGCTACGTAGGTTAGAACTAAAGATAAATACCTTGTTTAGTAGGTTGAGAAGACGCATCAGAATTATAAAATAAAAATTAAAGGTTGTACCTTTTGTTGAAAATAACTATCTGTTGTTTGGGAAAAAAGTAAGTAATCTAAATTTTGCAATTCAAATTTATATATATATAAACTTGCATACCTACTATTTATGGTTTGTGTATTGAACTTAAATTTAAAATCCTTAAAACATTCAAATTAATAACTTCTTAAGGCCTCGCATGGTCTGGTGGACAGGATGCTCAACTCACAATCTGTGGGTTGCTGGTTCGAATCCTCCTCACCAAACATCCTCGTACTTTCAGCCATGGGGGTATTATAATGTGACAGTTAATCTTACTATTTGTTGGTAAAAGAGCAGCCCAAGAGTTGGTGATGTTGACTAGCTGCCTTCCCTCTAGTCCTTCATTTCTAAATTAGAGGTGGCTAGCATAGATAGTCCTCGTGTAGCTTTGTGCAAAATGTAAAACAAATCATACTTTTTGCTAACAGTAGGCATGTAGATTAAAGGATTGGTTTAATTGTCAATAAAGTTTAGTTTAAAAGACTTCTTCAGATTATTACTTTTTAAAAAAAAATAAAAGTTAATGCCATATTCTATCCTATTCTATTCGGTTAAAACCGAAAGTTTTGATATTTGAGTTGAAGTAACAATTACTTGGTTAAAACATCTGTCCAACAAACAGGCTTGGGGGAGGGGGTGTCCTGCGTGGGCTGAATTTTCACTTGTTTGGGGAAATTTCCGATTTAATGGCGTAAAAAAAAGTATTAGTGGATTCATTACTTGAAAAACTAGAAAACTTGTTATGTATTTATCATTTTGATGACATTTCATGCACGACATTCATGTTCATGTATAATTAACCACTTTTTTCAACATTTTTATGAAGAACTAATGTACTGAATTTCTTAAGAATAAAATAATACTGTCTCCAGTTTTTACTTTTAATTTGTTATGTTTGTTACCTGTATGAAGTCCTGTTTAGTTTCAGTAATGGCAGTAGTTTCACAGTTTATACTGAACTATTCTTCCAAATATCAAGTGCATGATTGAAAGAGAACCAAACTTTGTTAACTAACATTACTTGTTCACTTTTAGAGGATTTCTGGCCTTGTGTTCAAAGGATATAATTGGGAGCTTGGAGCACTTGTGTCACGAGTATCACCTTGGGCCCATACTTCAGCCATTCTTCCAAAAGTTGGTCCCTGCATCTTTGCTAGAAACTGCAAAAAGCGTGAAGAAACGCCGTTTACTGTCTTCTCTCATAAAAACTGTAGATCTGGAGGGTGAAGAAGTGGAAAGTACACCAGTTGTCCTTACCTCACCAGGAAAGTACACCAGTTGTCCTTACCTCACCAGGAAAGTTTTTTTTTTATCCACTTTCCACAAACCAAACCATCACACAATCAATATTATAACCTAAAAAAAAAAATTATAATGAAATGTACGACATTACAAACCTCCTTTCTAAACGTTGTAACAGCATTCCAGCTTTCTTGATTAAAGGGTTTTGTGGTTTTTGATTTCGGGATGGTTTCTGTAGATTTACCTTAGCCTTCTTTGTTAAGAGTTGCTGTCTTTGTGCTTTACCCACATCTTTTATATACATCTTCATAAAATGTTCCAGTATTAACCTGAGAGGAACAGTAAATATTATCGGTCTTTAAACAATATCCTACAATTCAAAGTACAAACAAAGATTCTATCAAGTCTTACATTGAGCCACATTAGTATACGATATTTGTTGTGCCGGTTTTGGCTCCGACTGGCAACAGAATGTGGTTATTACCAAGTTTGTTCATGGGTTTAAAGTTACAATGTGTTGTAGCTCAGATATCACTCTATAATTACCAGAAAACATTACATTAACAGAAACTTCTTTATTTAATTAGAAGTAGTAAAGACACGCAGAAGGATGTTGTATTTAACTAAAGCTAGCAAATATGAATATATGAGTACATACTTATAGTTATAGTAGATAAAAAGCTGTAGCAGCTCCACAGATACAGACATTTTAAATAGCCAAACAAAGAAAGTTCCCCAGATGTCCTTACCTCACCAAGTCTACAATTTAAAAAAAAAAACTTTCCCCCTCTACATTTTAAAAACATTATGAAAATAATGAAAAATTAACCAGTATAAGTTTATATATTGATTATATAAGGTTTAGTCCTAACTGAAGTAAAATAAAAAAACGTACACAGGTTACAGTATTAATTTATCTCTTTATGAAACTTAGACCTAACATTAGTTAAGGTTTTATAAAGTATGGCCTATATACAAGTGAACTTGCATATTTCGGTGCCCATGGTTACAATTCATTTATATTATTGTAGAAATCTAGTATTTAAAGAAGTACTGTTGCAATGAAGATATTAATTTGACCGCAAAAGTTTTACGGGTCTTCGCTAGTATTTATAGTTTATTTTTAAAAAGTCAACTATTAAAACGTTTCAGAAATATTAGCTCAATGTGAGCCTATAGCATTTTGTTTATTTGCTACTCTGTGTTAAATGTTATGAAATGTTTTGTTTAAACCCCTTTTACTTTTACTCGCATTCTTCCAATAAAGTGTTATCTTTTCACCGAAAAGTCTGTGTGCGCTTTCATCCCTCTCTCATCTGTCAGATACTGTTTACTTCATTCAATAAATGGAATGGGTAACACCAGAAAATCTTTCAAAATGTTATTTGCTTCATCACAAGCAAAGACTTTCTGGTATGAAATCTATCGCTCAAATTTACAGAAAATTTATACTCCCAATAAAGGCATAGAGTCGAAACGTCGAGCAAATAGAAAAAAAAAAATTTTGAAAGATTTCTGTAGTTTATGGTCATACATCAATTTTTGTCAGGTATTTCATTACTCAGGGCCCTGTTGTATATTGTGTACTGCTAGCTCTCTCACTTACTTGATTACTCAGGGCCCTGTTGTATATTGTGTACTGCTAGCTCTCTCACCTACTTGATTACTCAGGGCCCTGTTGTATATTGTGTACTGCTAGCTCTCTCACCTACTTGATTACTCAGGGCCCTGTTGTATATTGTGTGCTACTAGCTCTCTCACCTACTTGATTACTCAGGGCCCTGTTGTATATTGTGTGCTA